TAATTGGGACGATTTTCGTAAGTTATCTTTATTGAATTAATTATCTATTAGAAAATTATTAATAGATTGGATATTAAGTAATGCAATAAAACGATTTCCTATTCTTGCTGAAAGTGATTACGAAATATTGATCACTGGTGCTGATAGTTTTACACCAGATGGTCGATTAATTATGAATGAATCAGCTGAAGTTAGTTATTTATTTGACTAAAAATTTATTTTTTTGTTTTTAAATAAAAACATAAATCTCTAGATTGATAATTATTTTGTTGCATCTGGTGCAAATGGACAGGGTATAGCACTTGCTGGTGGTATTGGAAAATATATGGCTGAATTAATTCATAAAGGAAATACAGAGTTAAGTACATGGCCAGTTGATATACGTCGTTTTATGCGTTTACATACAAATAAACGTTTTCTTGAAGATCGTCTACGAGAAATACCAGGTAGAAAATGTAACCTTTTGTTTCTTTTTCTCTTTTATTTGCATATGATGATTGATATTAGGAAAACAATATTCATTAAAATATCCAACATATGGTATGTCATTATATCAAACAGGACGAAAATTACGTGTTTCACCATTACATCCAAAATTACAAGCAGCTGGTGCAGTTTATGGTGAAGTACTTGGTTATGAACGTCCATTATTTTTTAAACCAGATGAACCCGAAAAAAGTATTTTAACGAAATAAAAGAACTTTTTCTTGTATTTATTTTTTCTTTTCTTTTGCAAAGGTTTTGAAGATTTAAGTAAACAAGGTACATTTGGTAAAGCACGATGGTTTAATACAGTTAAAAAAGAATATAATGTATGTCGAAAAGGTGTAGCTATTATTGATATGACATCATTTACAAAATATGAACTTAAATCAGCTAATCGAAGTGTTGTGGATTTTCTACAAATGCTTTGTGCAAATAATATTGATAAACCAGTTGGTACTGTTGTTCATACAGGAATGTTAAATGAACACGGTGGTTATGAAAATGATTGTTCTGTTATACGTCTTGATGATTATCAGTAAGATAAAGATTTTATTATTTAAAGACATATATATATATATATATATGATTTTTCTGTTCTTAGTTTTCTTTTAGTTAGTCCAACATCACAATCTACTCGTAATATGAAATGGCTTAAATCTCATGTACCAGAAGATGGTTCTGTTCTTCTATCCGATGTAACATCACTTTATACAGCATTGAATGTTATTGGACCAAAAGCAAAATATTTATTAGCTGAATTGAGTGATGAAAATTTTAATGATTTTGCAAGAATGACTTGTCAAGTAAGTCGTATATAAAAACATTATGAATAGATTGAAGATAGATCAAAAATAAGATATTTCTTTTTTAAATCAAAATTATTGAAAAATTTTTTTTATCATTCAAAACTATTGAACTATTTTCAGGAAATCGATGTTGGTTTTGTTAGTCATATCTATGCTATGCGATTAACACATACTGGTGAAGATGGTTTTATGCTTTATATACCATCAGAAGTAAAATTAATTTTTTTTTTGTTATATAAATTAACTATTTTTTCTTTCAGTATGCTTTATGTGTATATGATATGTTAATGGAACAAGGTAAAGATTATGGAATTATAAATGCTGGGTAAGATTATTTGTTTTAATTAATTCTAAATTTTGTATTAATTTAGATATTTTGCTCAACGAACTCTTCGAATTGAACGCATGTATCCATCTTGGGGACATGATATCGATAAGAAAACAACACCATTTCATTTAAATCGAGAATTTCATGTTTCATTTGATGTAAAAAGAATTGAAATCCATTTTATATATGTGTTTAAATTATCTTGTAGAAAGATTTTATTGGCAAAGAAGCTCTATTAAAACAACGAAAAGAAGGTATACAAAAAAGATTTGTTCAATTTCTTCTTGAAGATCACAATTTGGATTCAGATCCATGGTATTTTATTTTTTTCTTATGAACAGTATAATTTGAATTTTCTTTGAAGGCCATGGAGTGGTGAACCTATTTATCGTAATGGTGTATTTTGTGGATTTGTTACATCTGCAGCATATGGTTTTACACTCGGAAAACAAGTAAATAAATATATATATATATATAATTAAACAGATCTCTCATGTTAATGTCTATGATTTTTCTAGGTCTGCTTAGGACATATTCATGCTCCCGCTTCAGAAAACATAACAATCAATTATATTCGTAGAGCAACATATGAAATTGATATAGCAACTAAACGATATAAAGCACGTCCTAATGTTTATCAACCATCAGAAATGGGCCCAACCGTTCAACTTAGCATACGTTAGTTTTTAAGTAATACATTGTGATGAATTTCAACAAATAGTCCGAATATATTAGTTTCTCTATTCTGCATTTTTTTATTATTTCCAGAATAAAACATTTTTATACTAAAAACCTGCTTTTTAAACATGTTTGTGTCTGATAAAACAAAAGAAATTTATTTGTAGAATTCATTGTTAAATTTGTCTGACGAACTCTTATCATATTCTCTGGTTTAGCTTTACTGAATAAACATGAATCAAGACGAAGAGCACTATAATCGATTATTAAGTTCAAGTCGTCATTTGATCATCGATCATTAGGATTTAAAATACATTGATTTTTCTCATAGGATCAATCAAAAGCTTGAAAATTAATTTCATGAGTTCCTAAATTTAAAGCAGTACAATGATTAACTATCTTTGATAATTTATATGTGGACTAGTGAATATTTCAGTTTTAATTTTGAAGTCATATTTTTCCTCTTAACTCTTGATACACTTTTATGATTCATATTCAAAGCCAAAATACCCATATTGTCCAAATTGAGTGTTGCTTTTGGTGTCAGATTGGGTAAAAAGAGGAACCACACCCACACTCTCATAGTTTTCTTTGGTTACTTCCAATTGATGTCAATAGTAGTTTGTCACGAGAGAACGAAATAAACTCGCATGTTCTTAAATAGCACTTCTATTTGCACACTGTTCTTATCAGTGTTTGCTAATTCAGCATGAAGAGTATTGCTTCATTCGCATACAAGCACAAACGATGGAAACATTACCTCCTGAGCTTCTTCAGTCAATCTTCGAGCGAATCTCGTGTCCAGCCGACCTTGTTCGTTTATCATCCATCTGTCGTTTATGGAATTCACTGATTACCGAAAAAAGGTTCTTACAGATCTACTTTTCGCGGCGACTCGCTCGACATATCTGCGATAAACGATTAATCTGTATTCGCGAAACTCACTCTGCAGCACTCGAACATGAAAAGCACCTTTTGCCGAAATATTTCGATGGTTCCCTCTCGTTACTTGCTCGACATGACAATTGGTATGTTCTAAATCGAAAAAACAAAACCGACTTGTCCTCCTTTTCAGTTGCCTTCTGGGTTTGGGTGCCGGATCACCGTGACTATCTAGTTATCAACTTACCTGAAAATTGCACGAAAGCAGCACAAGTTGGATGTTTTTTCTGGGGCGACCCACGCCAACTCATAGCGTTGGATGGTATCGTCTATTATTGGACACATCCCAATGGTGAGACACTAGAAAAGACATGGGTTCATATAACTCTTAATAATAAATTGGACGAAAATGGATACCAGTCGATTTTCTCATTTTGGTTAGACGGTCAGAAATGTCAAACGGAGAGATTGGTGAGCCAAATGCAAAATACTTCAACATCTTGTAAGTCTTTCCCATGGCATATTATCCGTTACAGGTCTCGAAATTCGCAAAATGTATGCCGTTTGGCCGATATACGTTTCTATTCATTCCATCTAACTGAACCCGAAATCAAAGCTATTTATGAGCAGCAAACGACATTCGATAGGCTCGATATGGGTGCTTATTTCGACAGGAATGAGTCGAACTTTAGCCACTTCTATAAACTTGAATAGAACTTTCTCTCTCTGGCTTTTTCTCTCGTGACATATATCCATATGCTTGATTTTGATGGACACTTGTCTTCGAATTCTGCATTAACGCTGCAAGGACCATTGTAGGATGAAGAAATAGCATATCTGAATAATATTATTTTCTTATGTCTACGTGGTTAATAGAATTTAAGTTTTGCTTTTGTCAAAACATTATTAACTTGGTATTTCTCGAGACTTTCTTAGAAAGTTTGAGATCTTTAATTCAATAATATTTATTCTGAGCACCTAAGTGAGAAATTTACCAGAAACAATACATGTGAGTGTTTCTAAATTGAACATGAAAAGTCATAGTTATGGAGAGCTTTACGCTGATATCTTTTATTTGAAAGCTATAAATAACTAATTAGTAACTTTGATTCATTGAAAATCGACTGTAACTGTAATTTATTATTCAACCAATTGTATAGAAGAGCAAGAGAACCAAGAAAAGAAGAAACAAACAGTTACTGAAAGCATATAATTAGCGTAGTGTTGTCATCCAGATACTTATATATAAGACAACTGCATTTTCAAGTCAATCTACAGCGTTATGCTTTTCAAAAAAGTTAATTTAACTTCTTTGAGAAAATTTAGTCTTTAAAAGATCAAGTACAAGTGAAGCAATGTCATACATTGGTATTCTTCAACATACTTCGGATCTAACACGGTCGGTTTATTTTCCTTTAGTTAGTATATTGAATTTGAATACTGTTGTCTCGGATGTTGCACCAGGTACATTTTAAAGTTTTTTTTATATGATATTAGATCAAATGCAGACCATACCTAAGTTCACTTAACTACATTCAAGTCCGAACAATTACTTTGTTGAATCTGATGTTTATATAGGTTGCTACAAAATTTTTTAATATTATTTTCAGTATATTCATTTAGCAATAATTTTAATTGAAAATCTTTCTTTGTTTCTTTTTTCTTATCGATATTCTAATCAATCACAAATATATATGTAACACAGTACTTTTTTTCATTATGGTGAATCAATATTGCTGTCATTGTTGATGTTGTCGAAATATTTTTACTATTTAGTATTTGATTATTATTAGTATTAACATTATTCAAGTTCATTACCGTCAATTGGATATATTTGTTGTTCGATCTGATGATGATAAACATGTACATTTACAATAATTTCTTAATGGTGTATGTTTAAGTATTGCACGTAAAATACGATAAACTTCTTTATGAAATTTTTTTCCAGTTAAAAAATAAATATAAAATTCTAAAACTATATCGAATAATGTTAACATACGTAAAAGACGATACACATCGAAGATTTTCAAATCTTTTGTTAAACGTAAGCGATGACTTGATTTAACATAAATATAAATAATTGCAATACTATTTGTTATCAAAAAAAGACAACTTGTAGTTAATATTATCGTTGTTTCATAATTAACATCTTTTTTTGTTATTTGTATTGGCATATTGTTAAATGATGAATCTGATGGCTCAGAAGGTTGAACATCTTTTAATAATAATGTATCATGATGATGTAAATCAACGCTTGCTATAGTTTTTTGTGGTGCTTTTAACATATATACAATAATAATAATATTTGTTATTGCAACTATTGTAAATGTTATTAATGATGAAACAATAAAATTAACTAATGGAGCATTATATAAGAAGTCTCGTATAGCTTGACAACCATCATATGAAAAATAACCCATGTGTCGACCAAATAAAATATTACAATAAGTAAATGATCAATTTTCATTATTAATAAGTGTTGTTTTAACTAAATTTGGATAATAAAAAATATGCCAATTATATATTAAACTACATAGTATCATTAGTAATATAAGTCCAAATACTCGTAACGCGTTGGTTGTGGAAAGCATTTTGAATTTACTATTGTAACAAGATGTATAGTACAAGCAAGAATAACAAAACCAATTGACCAAGATACAAATATATCACTTATATGTGATAATAGACATATTAATTGAGATATATTTAATTGTTCATCTTTTGTAAAATATGTGCGTATCTAATAGCAATAAAAAGATTCATGATTGTTATTTTCAACATAAACTAAATCAAATATTAATCGAAAGACTCAAAATCTTTCTTAACATATTAAAAATTCTTTAGTCTATTATTTTCTCTTAATTTAAAGACTTTGTTTTGCGATAAAAGGTTGTCTATTGCATATATTATACTTTTTTCGTTTATTCTAATAAAATATGAGAATATAGTTTGTCTGGAAATTCATTCAAACGTGTGTGATATTTTGCTATTGAGTAAATATCAACTTCTTTTATATCATAATTAAATTTGAAAGAAAAAAAATAGAAAACGCTTTTTAATATTTCCATAAGAATTGTATGAGAATTCTATCTCTAATAGAAATTCTGATCAGTACTTTTTTTTTATTAATTTATATCTCTGCTGTATTATGGTATAATGTAGTATGGCGTTCTGTATATTGATTTATACATTCAAGATCATAAGAACCGTTGCCAACAAGAGCACCACTAGTATTGGTAGCCTAACATGATGCAAGACAAATGAACAGATCGTCACCCATTCAATAAAATTATATTAATGTCATGATTAACTTAATAATCAATATTGTAATCTAGAAAAAAACATAAGCTCATAATAAGAAATAAATTAATTGATTTACTTCATAGATTTTTTTCTCTTGTCTAAATGTGGGTGTTGACGTCTCGTCATTCTCTCTATTAATCTGTTAGCTAGATGAACAACAACTAGCAAAAAGTGATAATAAAAAGAAAGATTAATTGAAAGAAAAAATAAGAAGAAAGGAAGAAGAAAACAAAAGGACATCTGATGATCTAGCTTGAAACTTTGTATTACATACATGGCTGATCAGAAACCATGGAGACATAGAAAAACAGGATTGTTTGACATTTACTGGAAACATTTGACGTCAAGGTTTTATTGATCAGTTTATATACTCACGAGGAAATTTGCTTGAATGAATATCCTGTAGCTTTAAAAATATGATTCATGTTTGATGATCATTCTATTTCAAAATTTTCATCTTCTAACTAGACTTTTCTACTATCTAGAATAAATTAACCAAAAACTTTTGCCGTCTACATCTTAAACTGTCACCACTTGTGCCATGCGACTTCTTTTTACCAAAACCGAAAGAATCACTAAATAAAACAGATGGCTTGTCTTTTTCATTGTTGTGCGTTGCTGTTCGACGTTAAAGAAGAGAACAATAGATAAATATGAGCAAAGATGTAAATTGTAGGTATCAAAATAAAACGTACCACCTGTGTCGTATTATGCGACACCTTTTGAAAACATGGTGCAAATCCATTCTTTAACGCATTTGTTATTTTTTCTAAAGAAGATCTAGCAATATTAAGTTCGTTTGATCTCGATCATCAAGCGATTTCTCAGCATTTTCTCAACTGATAACTAATCAAAAAATAATCTAGAAAAACAAGCTTGTTAGCGCAGCTCCTATGAAGGTGAAATGTGGAACTCACGTACATCCTTCAAACTTGTTATCCTAATGCATCATTTGTAAACTGAAAAATAATTTTTTTCAAATAATTATGAAAACATTGAAATATAGTACAGCAGTCGAACTCATATTCTTCATACTGTTCAAAGAGCTTTTTTCTATTATGAAATAAATCTGAAGCCTATTGTGTGCGGTTGTTGAGGTCTGTAATGGTGGCCTGTCGATAATGGGGGCTTACGTTGCTATGTGTCTGTAATGGGAAGGAGGAGTCGCAAAAACTTGAACTTAAAACTGACACTCACTATTTGCTCCCAGGTCTAACAAAACGGCGTCGTAAACGGCCTTAAACGACATATTAACGACGTACAATGTCGAAAAACGGCGCTGTAATTCGTCATACCAGATTACGGAAGCAAAATCGGTGAAAAACGATGGTCGTTTTCTAGCGAGAAAAATGACTCGTAATTCTGTATGACAGATTACGGCGAAATGGGGTCAAAATTAATGCAGTAATTCGCCGTTTTATAGCCATTTCAGGCCAGATAAGACGCCATTTCCAACGATCAAAATGATTGACCTCGGCTTCGAAAATATACGTGAGTTCCACAAAAAAGGTAAACGTACATTTAATACAAAGACCACAACATATTCTATTGTAATGTGTATGGTTCTATAGCCGTACTCTGACTTTATATACACGTTGATCGGTGGAGCGAATCCGAGAGAGAGACCAATTTCTTTTTGGTCGTACAGCTAGGGTGTCAGATTTCACTTGTTCTTGTATAGTAAGAGAGAAACACATTTATTATATCGTCAACATTATTGAAAAAATCATCTGCATGTTTTGATAATGATATGTCGTCATACTCTTAAAACCTCGAATCGTAGATACATTAAAACAGCCTCTATTGTCTTGCTTTGCTGTCTTGCAATTGTCAATAATCCAATAGGCGTTTGATCAATAAGTATGCATTTGACATATTAGTTTAGACACTAGACGTTTCTTTACGAATGTACGAATCAACAAGCATGTCTATTATTAACTATCTCAAAGATAAAGCTGGGAGAAAAAAAAATATGTTGACGTTGTATCTGTCAACCAAGATAAAAACTATATCAATTGGTCTCAAGAAAGTGCTAGCGCAGAAAGTATATGGTGAAAGATGTAAAACATTGATAACGTACACTATGAATGTAAAGGCATAACTCACGGATGACATAGAAAAAGGAGGTGCGTGTGGACAAAAAGAAACCCACACTCAAGATTCATGCAAAATCCGTATACCATATCGTCATCTCTACAATTTAACCATCAGAACTTACTTTAATCTAAGTATAAGATTTAACCATATGGTCTTGTATGAACATAGAAGATTGTAGGATTATATTTCACTATATTTCTGCATTCTTATACAATAATTTACATAGCTAAAAGCCCAATTCTGAATAATAGATTGAAGGCTCTAATTCCAACTTTTTTTTTACATCGAAATCGTGCTTATGACATGATGAATATGCGCATACAAACAATATTTGAAGCTGATATTCGATGCGAATCATCTGTTTGTATCACATTCTCGAGACGAATCTAATGATTTAGGAACTCATATCTCTATCTTATTTACTGATTGATATGTCTTCCTCGCAAGTATCACACAATCATTGCATATCTTTTGTCAACCAATATAATCGTGTGCAATGATTGATTTTCGGATCTGTTTCATAATTATATCTTTTTCAATATTCTTAAATAAAAGATTTTGTTTTTGGATCGAATACATTAGAGGTAAAATTTTTTTCAAGCCTTTTTAAAAAAATTCTTAAAATTTCAGCCACTCATCAACACACATAATTAATGGAAGCTCCAGTGTCTGTCTGTTGAGGATAAGATGAAAATATAAGAATTGCGGATTATTTTTTTTTGTACTTTTTACTCATATATTTATGAACGCTGGGATATATATTTTGCTCAATACTAGTGTTGTTGGCGGTCGGATTTTGAAAGTATTGGCGAATTTGTGTCGAACTGACATCGGCGAGTTTGGTGCGTTCTATTGTTAACGGAATGTAGAAGACACCTGATGTTTTTACTGAATGAACAATGTGCTGTTCGTCGCAGCCCACACGGTAGACAACAGCAACAGACATATTATTTTGTGCTGCCATGGTTTGAACATAAGGACATCTATTAAAATGATCCAATCCGCAGACATATACTACACGCAATGGATATTTCAGAATCTTGTTTTGATCGACAAGTGTGCTATTTAGAAAGTCTCGTAGATATTCAGTAACAGGACCAAAGTCAACAAATCCATTAACCCATTCACTTTCACCTCGAGAAACGCCAATCCAAGATGATACTGCTGAACCTTCATACTCGATAGCTTTTTCACAAAGTCGACATCGATCTGCAGCTGGAATCCATGCAGGATCGCCCAATTTGGAATGTACATACGAATCACTTTAACAAATAGGTATTATATATATATATATATATACTTCTATTGAAAGAGAAACAAATTAAAAACTACATACTGTGTCGGCGAGAGATATCCTGCAAGAACGGCCCACGGAGGTTGATGTGCATGTTCAAGAAATTCTTTGACATGTAGAAGGTTTCGAAAATGTAATGAATGAATAGGATTGAAAGAGCCAGTAGTGAACAAAACACAACTACACAAACAGTAATAAGCATAAAACTGAGTACTGAAAATGCAGTGTTTCTTTTGGAGGAATGGAAGGAAGGACAAATGCTAAAACTTTGTGACACAAAATAGTGATTTAAGACATTATACCTGTATATTGAACGTCCTCTAGAATAATGACCTATATGATTTTATGGTTCAGTAGACAAAGAACAAAGTATAGCTATAAAAATCCTTTAAGTAGATGGCTAATATCGCCATCCACAACTCTGAATCTCTCTGTATATCCGTATCTTCTCTATCAGCACTTGTGAAATCTTTTTTGTATGCTACCATATTTATATCTATATCAGATATTACTAAGCACCATTGGATCACTAAAAAAGTCACTGCACTTCATGACGCTCAAAATTAAATTACTATATGCACAAAAACTATTTTAAATCGTAGACGATGAAATAGGGGGAGAAAGACATTCGAGTTCTACAATTTTTCTAAATTCAATACTAAACATTTTTTTCCTTTTAGTAGAAACGCACGAAAACCTCGTTTGAATTCTTCCATCTATAAACCCATTCCTCCTTATTGATTCAGATCTGGTATTGCTTCGACTTAAAAAAGACTTTTTGTTTTTTTACAATTGTGTTTTATGTTCTATTTCACACGGAATACTCACTTATGACGATTATTGGCCAAATTTCGATTGGTACAATTTCTTATCAGAATGTTAATGTCTATATTATTGACGTTGTGCATCATCTGACTGTTCGTGTTGATGAACGTTTTTGAATGCTCACCACCGACCGCACCTTGATACACTTCTGCAGTAGCAGTGCTTGATTTATACGGGTTTGTATAATCTTCTACAATCATTCAAAGATAGAAAGTAAGAAAGGACTGATACATTTGGAACGGGAAAAGCATGTGGCTTTGAGTGTGGATAAAGGGAACACCCACATCTTTTCTTATACCTTCGTACTATATTTGTGAAGTCTATACATGTCTTCAACTTACTCGAATGCGCTGAGCTTCCAAATTTTTTGTTGTGGTTTGAATCTTCAGCGTATAATCGCTGTGATGATGTCGGTCTTCGATCAAAATTTACGAAATTCCGTAAATCACTGGTTTTCGTAGACACCGAAACTGATTGTCGTTCTATTGAGTTTAATTCTGATTGAAGAATTTGTTCTGCTGTTCTTTTGTCACTAGTAAAAATCAAACATTTATTACTGAAACCCATCTGTCGTATTGCTTTGATTAGTCGTGCACCTGCATTATGAGCGGGTTTTTCATTTGTACGATTCATATCAGTTACAATGCGGAATGTGTCCTGATTTTTCAAACGCTGTCCAAATGCAGATCGTAAAAAGGATAGAGCACTATCAGTGGACGATTTCGGAATAAAATGCACATTTATATCAAGTGCATTGATTGCTGCATATTCCATGTGTTGTTTATTCTCCCAATTTTCATCAAATATGCGGTCATCAACCCACAACACGGACCATGTGCATAAACCCAGTTCGACTTGTCGCATGTAGATTACTTGTTTTCTCTCTTTATAATACGTTTTGTGGTTGAAAACAAGAAAGGTAGAATGGGGCAGAAATAAAATTTCATCTTCTTCCGGATAATTAGAAAAATGTTTGATGGGACGACCAGTTAACGAGAAGATTTTAAAAAGTACATTTCGATCTTTAAAAGCTTTCGAATTAACTGCTTTTTTACCTTTTTTTGAACTACTAAACTGGATCCAAGTGATTAAAGCGCCAGGTACGTAGAGTTTCAATTCATCGTATGTAAGCTGACAAGCTCGAGTAACATATCCCCAGTAAAAAGGGATGTATGAAAGTGCTTTCACCAAATAATAAAGAATAATAGCTGCTTCGTTTATTTCGTTTTCTACGTCACCTTCAAGGACTTGCCCATTACTTTTCCGAGCGATAAGACTGGCACCACGATTACATGCTTCACTCTTCGAACCCGTATAGAAGGCAATGGAGAATGCTAAAGCTTTGGCTTCGTCAGGTGGCACTTTTCTTTCACAAAAATACGAGTGTGACGCATTCGCACGGTTCTCATGTTCAGCCATCACTTTATCCACATTAACTCCTTCGCGGTGTTCATATATACGACAAACCTTTTTAAGTTTCTCGAATGATGATCGTGTTTCCATCATAGTAGTCAGAGAAGAATTAAAATTATCTTCATAGACGAAATGACTTTTACGCTGGCTTTCAAGCTGTTCAGTCTTTCCTGTTAATTTGATGTGCTCCAAAATTGATTCAACATTTTCGGATTTCAATACTGCATATTCTGCTTGATCTTCATCTCCTTCTTTCGTCGACGATATTCCTTGTGATTCACTCATATCCAACAACATCTTCATATGCTCTTGACTCTTCAAATGACCAACCATGATCATATAACAGTCGTGTGGTAAACGATCCCCTGGATCAGCTGACGATACAGTGTAAGTACATAGGTCTTTGAGTATGTCTTTTGTTGATCGTGATTCGGGTGACGAGCTTGATTCTCGTGACTTTCTTGTTTCTCGTGACATTTTTGTACGTTTACACTACAACATCAAATGTTCATGATCAATCATGTTTATGAGTGGACGTGGATGTGGGTGTGGGTGTAGATGTGAGGTTGTCGGTGCGATGTGGGGAGAGGGGGGGAGTGGATCTTCTACTTTCTCACACATCCATATATCCGCTCATTACAGATTTTAGCAATCGAGAATAACATGCATCAGACTTTCGAGTTTATTTTTGCAAAACTGATCAAGTTAACGGTTTGAAATATAGTGATTATCATTGTTTGTGAGCTGATTAATATATACAATGATGCATAAGAGCTGATACAGATATCGTTGATATGTAAACTAGACTTATTTGTCAATTAATTCAGTCATTTTAATGATAAGAATCTTAAACTACGAAAATCGTATTTAAAAATATTAAAAATAATGAGCTTAAAGGCATAATGCAAACAAAAAATAGGACATCCATAGCAAAAAATTAAAAGTTTCTATTTGAAATGCAGAAATTATAGAAGTCATTACTCTGACGGTCGGTTATCCTGCAAAAGAACTATAGTTTGTCAGAGCTTTTCCACTTTATGTACCGGATGTTCCAAAAGTCATAATCATTTAACAAATGCATATAATTTCTTTACTGATCAAGTTTTGTTCAACAATTTTTTTTAGCTGATAGAAGAAAGTAGTAAGTTTCCTTTTTTAAAGAAAAATTTCTCATTTCTTCAATGCCAGAAAACAATACTTAAATTTTTCATATATTTATCTCAATTTTTATGGTTATTATGAATTTTAAATTATCAATATCTCTCACTATTCCTTTATTAGCATTTGTTTTCGTATTTTCTAACGAAAAAAAAATGCAACTATGTCAATTCGAATGACACCAAGAATGATGAGATTGCCCAATATCCTCACTTCACTGATTATCGAGTTTTTTGCTATGCTAGGAACAATCTGCTTTCGAGAATTGTTCTAGTCAGCTGATCTTTAAAAAAATGGCAAAGAAAATGCTAATAAAGGAATGGTGAGAGATGTTGATGATTTAAAATTCATAATAACCATTAGAAATTGAGATATGCATTTGTTAAATGATCATGACTTTTGGGACACCCGGTAGTTCCACATTTCAGCTCCAAAAGAGGACTGCACTAGCAAGTCTTTTCTTAATACATAAGTAAAGTTATCACTAGACTCAAGTATTTCCATCCCGAATTCGCCGAGGAGTTTGTTACAACTGTCGTGTTCTTGTTTCAAGTAGCACTCGATGAGCTCTATCCATTGGTATAATCTCATTTTCCATAGCTAAAACAGGTCGCCTGAGAAAACGATTTGCCATTTTTTTCCATTGTATCAGATAACTCTGAAATACAACCACACTCACATTCATCCAGGAACTTGTTCCAAAACTTCTGTTCTTGTTCTAAGTCGAATTCATTGAGCTCTATCGATTGGTACAGTTAGATTTTCTATAACTCAAACAGATCGCCTGAAAAATCGATTTTTCCATTTTTTGCCCTTGGTATTCGATTAGTCTGAAAAGTAATTCCAGTCTAGACTCGTCCAGGAGCTTGTTCCCAATCTTTAATGCTTGTTTCAAGCAAAAACCGACGAGCTCCATCGATTGGAATACTATATTTTTCATTACTGAAACAGGTCGGCTGAGAAATCGATTTTTCGCTTATTTTCGTCGCAGGACTGGGGATAGAAGAAATCAATTTTTCAGGCGGCCTGTTTCAGCTACGGAATATCTGGTTATCCCAACTGATAGAGCTCGTCGAATTATTCTTGGAACAACTTCCTGGGCGAATCTGACGTGAGACTACTTTTCAGAGTACCTCGATCTCCTTAGGGTAAAACAGAAAAATTGCTTTTCCAGACAGCCTGTTTGAGTTAGGGAAAATCTGATCATACTAGTCGATAGAAATCGTCGAGTTCTACTAAAAACAAGAATAGGACAGTTGGAAAAGTCTCTGAACAAATCCGGGATGAAATTACTTTTGTGGGTACCTGTAACCCATACAGTGGAAATCGAAAAGTCGATTTTTCAGCTGATCGCTTTGAGCTCTGGAAAATCTAATCATACCAATTGATAGAGCTAGTCGAATTCTACTTGAAAGAAGAATTGAACAGTTGAAACGAGTCCCTGGACAAATTCTGAGTAAAAATACTTGAATATGGTGATAACTTCACCTTTGTTTTCTTAATGCAAAACGAAAATCATTTCGTAGTTTCTGCGTCTAATAAAAAATGAGTTCTGCATGAGTCGTCAATGAGTTGAGACTAATCAAAATAATAAATAACTATGAGATGGAGACAGTAGAATGAATAAAGGGGATTAGTAACTCACAAGCATCTAGGAATCGCTGTTTCAAATGAATAGCCAATCCTTAGAGTCGATTTCATACAAGTGTCACAACTGTGTCTGATATGCAGATCATATTGACGCCTCAAAATGACCATTACGACAGTCGTAAACGATCGTACACGGCGTCGTAGACGATCATGTGCGGTCGTATTACTTGTAGTCAGAATTACGATCGTATATTGTTGAGTCGCATACGCCGCAATGCGACCACTGTAAACGGTCGTACATGGTTGTATACAATGTTGTTTGTCATCGTATTGCACATAAACTCTTTCTAGCTACCCTCAACCTCCTCCCAACTCTCCAGAAAATTCAGTATCTGATATTTGAGATTCCTAGTCTGACCGGACGTTCCAGTTTTTGTTGTCTCATTCAGTTTCGATGATACATCAGAAAAATATCATGGTTTCATGCGTTAGAATATACTCAAAGCCGTGACATTTTTCTGATCAATCATCGAAACTGATTGAGACAACAAGAATTGGAACGTTCAGTCAGACTGGACAGTCACACTTATTTATACTAACACTTGCCGTATCATTGACCGTTCTAGTTAACCTAAAAAAGATAAATTTCTCTGAATAAAGAATTACGCACTATTCCCCTTATCTTTATGTATAATCTAAAAAATAAATTTACCTTAATAAATCAATACTTGATGTTTGATTTGTCGTTAAACTTAATCTAAAACAAAAAATAAATTTTTTTAAAATATATAATTACTTACTACAAGACTTATTATTATAGATAATCTAAAAATAAAGAATAAAATTTATTCAAATAAACCAACACTTCCAGTTTGATCTGTCGTTGCGGTTAATCTAAAAAACAAACATAACTTTTTCTTAAAATCAATAGTTACTTGCTGGTCGAATTATATACGTATATATAGGTAAGCTAAAAATGAAAAAACAAAATTTATCCAAATAAATCAATACCAGCTGTTTGATTTGTCCTTGTGGTTAGTCTTAAAAAAAATCTTTTTTTACATAAATGATTACTTGTTGTTCGATTCATATTTATGAACGATCTAAAAACAGAAAAAACAAAATTCATCTAAAGAAACCAATAATTGTTGTTTGATTTATTTGGATAAATTTTTTTTTTTCTTTTCAGATTATCCATTAATATAAATCCAAACGCAACTAATTATTGATTTAAAAAAAAAATTCTTTTCTTTAAAGATTAACCACAACCTCAAATCAAACGGTAACTTTTGACTCATTTGAATGAATTTTATTCTTTATTTTTAGATAATCGATAATGATAAATCTTATAATAAGTAATTATTTATTTGAAAAAAAAAATTTCCTTTAAATAAGTAAAATTCTTACTGGTCAACTATTCGTTATAGATAATTTAAAACTAAAAATACAAAATTTATCCAAATAAATCGATACTTACAGATTGACCTTTTTGTTGTAGTTAGTCTACAGCAAAACATAAACATTATTTTAGAAAATAATTATATTCTGTTCCATTTATTTTTATAGATGATCTAAAAATAAAAATAGAATTTATTTAAATAAATGCATAGTTACTGTTAGAGTTGTGATTGTAATTAATCTAAAACTAAAGGTTAAAGGAAAATTTTTCTGAATTAATGCTTATTGTACCGCTTAAGACAAGCACCAGGATGGTTATAAAGCATCGTACAAATCACAAAATGCGGTGGTATAAGTTATTACAGACGTAATTGTGTATTATTGGTTTTGTATGATGAGTGTTGTCTATGGCAACTTAAGAAATATTAGGCATTCTACTATGGTTTGAAGTGATATTGCATTATGATAATATGTATTTATTTCAAATATTATACTGAATAGACAACAATATAATCGATCAAGTCAATATATAAAATAGAAATAAAAAAAAATAATTTCTACAAAGAAGTGAAGCGTATAACATTAGCAAGCTATCTTGTTATATACGAGAAAAATACACGACGCAAATATGATCGTATACGAACGTTGTTTACGATCGTAGATTTTAAATCTGAGACCGTGTGGGATATTAAATAGATTTATTTTTGCTTTTGGTATTATTCTAATAACTTACTCACAACAACAAAATGAACAAAACCCAATTTATGAAGATAATTTTCTGTCACTAACCTATCGGTTTGGTTTGGTGATGTGCACATAATACTGTTTACTTATATAGTCGAATAGTTTGTTTTTTACCTTTGCAACGAGGCAAAATAAAAACACTTCTTATCGTTCGTTATTTTGTCTCTTTTTTCCAATTACATACACTACCAATAACGAATCTACACAAGATGAGCACAGAACGTTGAAAACTACGAAACTGCCGAACGAAACGACATGCATCAGTGATCTGCACACATTGAATATTGCAAATGAAATAAAAAAAACATATGTACACCTTGAAAAACATCGATAAGCAAAAAAAACATTAGAAAAATTAAACTGATTTTTATTTTGAAACCTTAATGTTTTATATTCATATATATGTCGACATTGACTTTAAAATTTAGTTGTTTTTTAAAGGCAACTGAATTTTAAAGTCAACTCCGACATATATAAACGAAAAGCTGTAAAACAAATAATTTCGATAGTCATTGTCATACACAGCTGATAGCCAGTTATTGCAGTTGTACATACCATCATTATACACTTCGAACTGCTTGTTCTTT